GTTAGAAGGGGACCTAGTGGGGAAAAGGATCAGAAACCCAATCTAAGGTTTTCTTTGCAGAGTAATGTTCATCCTGTCAGGAGATGGTTACCTTTATCACTAGCGCTCACACTGTCTCCACTAACCGTTACTCAGGAGAACTAAGCTGTGGTGCTGAGGGATCAAAGGTTTGCTAGGAGAAGAGGGATATCAGGTAAAGAAGAGGAGTACCTGTGACACTTAAGCCTTTTTACACCAAATAATTGCATACCATATTTAAAGAAATAAAAATATACAGGTAAAGACCGATTAAAGTTGTTTGACAGACTTAAAAATGGACCAAAGAAACTTTGCATAAATAATACCAAATTTAATTGCAATAAACTCTTAAGTAAAAGTAGAAAAAAACTAGGTGAAACGGAAGAAAATGAAATAAAAAGTTGTAAAGGTATAATGATTGATAGATAACAAGGTATTAAAATGTAATGGGACCTGTATTCAAGGCCATACAGGAACCCAGAGAAAGGAACCACTTCGGGGGCTGCTTTTCCACCGAATGTCCTTTGATTCCTGAAGAAGTGACAAAGATATTTAGAAAATAAAGGGTACATTTTTTAATTTGTTTTTCTTGGATCACACCCAGTGTTCTGTGCTCCAGGATCATTCTTATGGTGCTCAGGGACTGTATGGGTGTGGGGGGTTAAACCCACATGCAAGGCTAAAGCCCGATCTACTGTGCTATTGGTCCATCCCCTCGAATGTTCATTCTTAATGTGTTTTAAGTTTTTCAGTATCTGTTACTAAATCTGTACTTGTTATTCTCTCGTATCAAAAATATAATGGAAACTTACCTAGCTATGGGAGAAAAACTGTTAACTCTCTAATAACAATACAACTGGGCATTGATAGGAAAGCAAAATGTGATAAAATTTATCACTAAAGTCAAAATGTGATTAGACATGGGAACTTTATCTAAGATGTGCTTCTAAGTTAGTACGTGTATTACACTTCAAGTTAGAGAATTTATATTTCATATTTGGTATTTGCTCGATTTGCTCGAGCGGGCCCAGTAACGTCTCCATTGGAGACTTTGTTGTTACTGTGTCTGGCATATCGAATACTCTCGGTAGCTTGCCGGGCTCTCCGAGAGGGGCGGAGGAATCGAACTCGGGTCGGCCATGTTGGCCGCTTGTAAGGCGAACGCCCTACCCGCTGTGCTATGTGCCAAAAACAGTAACAACAAGTGAGACATTACTGGTGCCTGCTCGAGCAGATCGATGAACAACAACGGGAGGACAGTGCTACAAACTAATTCTTTTCCTTGGATTTAGGCGTGGTGTATACATTTTATATCTTCACATTGCACCTAATTAACCAAAATATAAGGCAAAGCCAGTCAAACCCCAAATCTCAAAGGATAGTCAACTAAAGAAAAAGGAATGAAATGACAGGGAATGCATTAATAGAAAGTTAAGAGATAATGTTATTTCCTGCAATTACCCATAAAGCTTTTTCCAAAAGTCATATTATCACATATATTAATTTGAAATAAGTACAAAGACTTGATGACTGAAAGAAGAACAATTTTAACTTTTCTGTGGCTCCTTGGGTGTAAGGAATATGTGAGCCTAAAACAGTTTTTGTATAGTGCTCAGAGCTTTGACTTTGGGGTTAGTGAATCATAGGAATACTTTTCACAGCCAATAGTCAGAGGTCCCAGTGGTTTGAACCAATAGGATCACATACTTGAAAGCTTGAGCAAGTCAGTTGCTGGTGAAAGTTGAGTGCTTCACAGATGGCAACGCTGAGAGTCTCTTGATCTTTTTTCTTTCAGCACAGCAGTGGTGGTTGAGGCTGTAACTGTTGACATAAGTAAGAGGTAGTATTTGTTCTAGAAATCAAGAGCATCCCACAGCAAGCTTTTTGCTTGCATCTCCTTGATCAGAATTTTGTCCTGTACCTGCCTTTAGTTGTAGGATAGCAAGGAAGACTGGGTTGAGAGTGGAGTTGGTCGGCCACATAGTGTCAACTAGAGTTAGGTTGATTTTTAATCTCAACTCTCCCAATTGTAAAATTACTCAAGTTTTTAATCACAACTCTGCCATTTGTAAAATTTCTTCATTTGTAAAATTGGAATAAGAGGATCCTTATTATTATTAAGATACTGCTCCTATTTCTCCTGCTTCTGCTAAAAAAGGCATGTAAACATTGAGCTTATGCCACTTAGGGGAATTAAGTGTTCACCTGGTGTTAGCTCTGATTTCATCGTCACACTTTTTCATGTCACATAACATAAAGTTTAGCATTTTCAGGCAATTAAGTGGCATTTAGTATACATGTAGTATTGTACAACTATTAATTTCTCTGTGACTCCAAAATACTTTTATTACTTAATAAGGAAATGTGGTACCTGTTATGTTAAGCAATCTCCTTTCTCCAAAAACCTAGATCCTAACAACCACTAACCTGCTTTCACATCTATAGACCTATCTGTTCTGTGTATTTCTTGTAAATAGCACCATACTATATGACCTTTTGAGTCTGATTTTTTTCTCTTAGCATGTTTCAGAGATTCATCCATATTGTAGCATACATCAGTACTCCACTACTTTTAATGATTGAATTATAGTCCATTGCATAGAAATACTACAGTTTATCTATTTACATTGATGGGCCTCTGAATTATTTCACCATTTGGTCATTCTGACTAGCATTGCTCTGAATATTTGAGGACTTTTTTCCTTATTTTTATTTTTTACTTCTATGATAGCACAGCAGTAGGGCATTTGCTTGCACGAGGCCAGCTCGGCTGAGCCAGGTTCGATTCCTTCGTCCCTCTTGGAGCGCCTGGCAAGTACCGACATCTTGCCCGCCCGATATGTTATGCCAAACACAGTAACAGTAAGTCTCACAGTGGAGACGTTACTGAGTCCGCTCGAGCAAATTGATGAACAACAGGAGGATAGTGCTACAGTGCTACTTCTATGGAGTAGATATCTAGAAATAGAACTTCTGGGTCAGTGACAGTTCTAAAGGTTATCCTTTTTGAGTACCTGCCAAATTATATGCTACATTGCTGAAACATTTTACAATTCCTTTAGCAATGTGTGAGAGTTCTATTTTCTCCATTTCCTTGTCAATACTTGATTTTTTTCTGGGGTAAAAAAAAACCCTGACTATTAGCATTTGTGTGTGGAGTTTTATTTTGTTGTGATTTTGACTTGCATTTCCCACTAACATCTTTTCATGTTCCTGATGAACCCATCTTCTTTCCAAAAAGGGCTGTTGAAATCCTTTGCTAATTTTTAAATTAAATTGTTGGTCTTTGCTGTTGACTATAGGAATGCTTTTTTTATATATTCTGTATAGATTTATGTATTCTGGATATATATTTATATAAATAAACCTCGATATGCCATACACAGTAACAACATGTCTCATGATGGAGACGTTACTGGTCCCGCTCGAGCAAATCGATGAACAATGGGAGGACTGTGACCGTGACCAGATATATTTGCAAATCACACAAATCACAGATCATCCTGTTATTCGTCGATTGCCTCAAGCAGACCCCAGTAAGATCTCCTTCATCCTAGCCCTGAGATTATATTCAAGGCTCTTTAGGAGAATGAGACCCGTCATTGTTACTGGTATTTGGCATATTGGGTCGCCACGGGGAGTTTGCCAGACTCTGCCGTGTGGGCAGGCTACATTCGGTAGCCTGCCAGTTTGTCAAAGTAGGAATGAGATGTCATAATAAGATGTCGTGCAGCCGCAAATGCGGCCACGTGGTTCCGGGAGCTGGTTTTTATAGTCTCTGAGTCTTGGCCGCTGATGGGATTACACGGCGCCAGGGGGCCAGTTGATGGGTGTGACCCCCGCCTACTGGAATTTGGAGGATCTGGGTGGAGGATGCTCGACTCCAATCCGAGTAGGCTTGGAGATCTCCGCCCCGGAACCCACGTGGCTTTGTCCCTCTGCCGGTATCTTCAGGTGTGCGGAGAGTGGTCTCATCATGGTGGTGGCTGGTCCTGGAGGTCTTCAGCTGCCGGGGCCCTGGTCGGGGGTGGGAGGAAGGCTCAACTCGCTCCCCTCCAAGGGACCCCAGCGAGGAATAGCCAGGCACGGGGGCAGGAGACTGCACTGTTCTCCTCCGAGCTGGTTTTTATAGTCTCTGAGTCTTGCAAAAAATATTTGCAAATATTTTTCCCATTTTTCATTTTTTAAATAATGTCCTTTGGTAAAAAATGTTTCAATTTTTATTGTTTAGTTTATGTTTTTGTTTCTTTCACTTTTGGTGTCACATCTAAAAATCCATTGTCAAATCGATTCTGAAAAAAAAATGTACCCTTATTTTCTTCTAAGAACTTTATAGAATTTTTACATGTATATTTTCCATCCTGAGGTAATGATTTTTAGGATTTTTTTATATCCATTTTGAGTTAATTTTTGTGTGTAGTATGAAATCAGACTTCTGACTTAACTCTTATTATCCATACCACAGGTATTTTCTATTATCATGAAGCATGAAGTCTGCCAACAAAATGTTTTGGGATTTAGAAAAACATTTTATGAATGTCGTTTGTTTAATCAGTAGTAATTTTCTTTCATTTTTTTAAAACTGAAAACAGTCTGCAAAATGTGCTCTCTAAGTTCCTTTTATATAGTATATAATAGGACAGTTTGAGTTATGTTTGATCTATCTATAGTACGTGTGGACTTTGAAATAAAATTTGCAGGGGTGGTTAGTATATACCTTTCTAGATTTGTTACTGATCTTGAACATTGAATTTTCTGTTGAAGTATATCAGATGAGAATATGTAGTGGTTGCTTTTATTTTACCTAGTTTTATCTAGTACCCAGCTGTTTACTGTTAGCATCAGTAAAAAGAAATCTCCCAGTGTAGATGGGATAGGATAGACCTTAGGTGTTTTTTTTTGTTAACAGAACTTTCAGAAGTTGTATTTTAAGTAGAGAATATAATTTGACTATTTTATATTATTTTATTTTTTTTTTTCAGTACTTGATTTTGAAGCTTGAAAGGCCTGCAATAGTCCAGAATATCACATTTGGAAAGTATGAGAAAACTCATGTCTGCAACTTGAAGAAGTTTAAAGTCTTTGGTGGAATGAATGAAGAGAATATGACGGAACTATTGTCTAGGTGAGTCATCAATCACTGTGAAGAGTAAAGGGTTGTCTTCTAGACAAGCCACAGTCATTTTTGTAGCCAAGCTGCATGGTCTGATTGTTTTATTTTTTCAAGATGGAAAAAATATTTCTGTTCTTAGATTGATAGTGCCTTATTTTTTTAGTATTGTTGGTTCAGTTGGTCCATTACTTGTTTTTGTTTTGTTTGGGGGCTATACCTTGACTAACTACTGGATCTGAGCTTAGGGATCACTCTCGGAGGTGTCAGTGAATCATATTGGGTGCAGGGGACCAAACCCAGGTTAGCTGCATGCAAGACAAGTGCCCTAGACTCTGTACTATTTCTCTGGCCCCATGTTAGTGAATTAGTTTAAAACCATTAATTATAGTTAGAAAAATTTTAACCATCAAATACTAGTTGATATCAAAGAAGAAAGATAATTTTTCTCTTTTTTCTACTTATTTCTTAATCTTGTTTTGAACTTCAGCAATACATTCATTAAAATCTTTGCTAAATTTATTTTCAGTCTTATTTTTGAACTTTTAGAAATATATTCCGCTTTTTTAATAAAACCTTTGCAGAAGAAACATCATTCTGGAATTTTCAATAAATTGGAGACTAAAAGAAAAATTATGTGACTGCACAGAGCAGCATGGTGCCTGCCGCTAGGATGGAACTGTACTAAATTTGGATTTTAACAGCATAGAACAGCAGCAGTGAAAGTGCTCACTTGCCCCTTAGGTAATCAGACATCAGATAGATAACGGATGACCAAATAGTGCCATAGAGTTTTAGGATACGTTTGTGGTGTCCCTCTTGCACAACAAATTATACAAATACATGTTACCTATGTATTATTTTTGACTTAAGTATTTCAGGATGTAAGAGCTCTAAAAGGTAAGTGACTTTTCGGTTAATGTTTTTCATCAGTTCTAGTTGGAGAGAGATGGTAAATATTTATTGTGATTAAATAAGGTGAATGCTTTCGGATCTATAGTAAATTTGCCTTTGAGAGTGGATTGAGCTGTAAGAAAACCTGGCATCTTAATTCGAATTAGGTGACTTAATTCTTTGACAGATTCTAATATTTGATACTCAACATGGTCAGCTACGAGTTAGTTGTTTTCTGATTTTCTGTTTTGTAATTAGATGTTTTATTGTATTTGGGGATACAGTAAAGCCTTTAGGTTCTTCACACATTTGCATGCGTGCACATTTGCATTTTTTAAATTTACCTGGAATATTTTTAATTAGCTATTGCATAAATAAGACTATAGTTACAATGCAGTCAGTATGTTTTGAATTGTTTTCTTATATTCGCCTGCTGCTTTATATTGTCTTTGTCATATATCTTGAGTTCTGATTTGACTTGAAATCTAACAATTATTTAACCTGTATTTTAGTGTACTTACAAAATTGTGAGGTCAGATTTGAAAACTTTATTTTTTTCCCCACAGTGGATTAAAAAATGATTATAACAAAGAAACATTCACTTTGAAGCATAAAATTGATGAACAGATGTTTCCTTGTCGATTCATTAAAATAGGTAAGATTTTCAGAAATCTGCCATAGAAATTAAAGTCTATATTATCAGACAGCATTATGCCCTGTAAACCATATTTTACAGGGCCCCCATTTTGTTTTTTAATGGGAACACTTCCAGTTTCTCACTTAATATGAAGGCTGCTTTTGGACTGCGGAAGACAAAAGATGAATAATTGTAAGAGGCCACGTCTCTTAGAACATAAAAAGATTTACTGTGTGAATCTTTGCAGAAAAGTTTTCAGAGCCCTTAATCTGTTAAAACTGCAAAGGTTTATTTCTTGCTTATCTTTGGGGCTTGAGGGAGGTTTGGAACACATCCTCGGGGCTTGCTTTTGGCAGTGCCTGTGGGACCATACACAATGCAGGGGTGGAAGCCAGGTTCATTGTATGCAGGGCATGGTACCATCTCTCTGAGCCCCCAGTACAATTATTTCTAGTGGAACCAAATATTTCTTCCTTGAAAGAGTCTTTAAAGATTTTCTAAGATAAAGTGGCTTGATCACTTTGATTGTTTATGAAAGGTTTACCAATTATTCTAAAACTACAACAGACCAAATACTAGTGAATTCCTTAAGACTGCATTTTGGTTTTTTTTGTTCTGTTCTTTCATATTCATATTCATTTTAAAAATGACAAAGTGTTTGCTAAACATTGTTAATTTTATGACTAATGTATTGTAAAATATTTGAGAAATACTACTTAAGGTTTATAATTAACAATTCTTTTAAGGAAGTATTTGTCATGCCTCTTCAAAATTAAATTTTTAACGATCTTTTATTTTCCTTTGAGATTTATTGTTTAGAAGACAGGATGTTTGTAGCTTGAGTCGTAATTCCCACCTCTGTTGAATATCCAAAAATTTATGTTAGAATTAGGATTAAATTCAATCCCAGTCTTTAAAGAATAACAATAAAAGCCAGAATCCCATGTTTTGATTGGGAGAAAATTCCTCTTTCTGAAGCAGTGTTCTTCATAGTCATTGCCAGTCTGTTGTATTGGCCTGTTGATTTCATTGCATCAAATAGAATTTCTGAAGTCTTCATAAAGACTGCCTATGAAGAAAAGATAGTTGTTGCTTTTAAAACTTTCTTTAGGGGGTGGAGTGATAGCACAGCGGGTAGGGCGTTTGCCTTGCATGCGGCCGACCTGGGTTTGATTCCCAGCATCCCATATGGTCCCCTGAGCACCTCCAGGAGTAATTCCAGAGTGCAGAACCAGGAGTAACCCTTGTGCCTCGCTGGGTGTGACCCAAAAAGCAAAAAAATAAATAAAAATTTTAAAAAATTTCTATTTTAGGCATCTTGGTTTACAATACTGTGGAAGGGTTCTTGCATAAATCATTCCAGCACCACACCCTCCATCTGAGTGTCTGTTTCCCTTCACCATTGTACCAGTGACGCTGTTCCATCCCATTTCCTCTCACTCCTCCTCCCTGTGTTAGGCTTTCTACTGAAGACCAGTTTTTAGTTTGGAAAAGCTAATTTTTCACTATTGCTATCTAGTGTGTTACTTTCTTCTCTAATTATAATAGTTATATAAATAATACAATTTATAGTAAATAAAAGCCTATTTTTCTGTGAGAAACAAGCAATGGTGGGTTTTTGTTTGTTTTTGTTTTTTGGGGGCCATAATCAGAGCTTCCTTGTGACTCTACCTCAGGAATCACTCCTGGTGGGGCTCAGGAAATTTATGTATTGCCTGGGATTGAACATGGGTCAGCCATGTGCCAGCTGAACTGTCACTCCAGCCACAAAGTTTCTTCTTAGTTTTTAAATAATCCTCCTCCCCTTGTCAATCCTAGTGTTAGAATGAATTTAATTTGGGTGACTACTTCTTTACTCCTAATGAGTAATCCTCTCCTCTGCATGCGGACTCCCCAGTTCTTAACAACTTTTGGATAGCTTTTACAGTTATGTGATCCTAAATTTCAGATATGGAAGCGGTAAAAATACCTTACTATTTTATATTATAGAGTTATACTACATAGCTTTAAAGTATTTAACTTCTATTTGGATTAGTTATATAAAGTCAAATGTTCTCATTTTCTGATTTATTTGTGCTTTTTGGGTTTTTTTTTATTGGTTATTAGTTTTCTTTAAAGGAGACTGTTACTGAGGCTTCGATAGTTTTTAGTTCTCTAGTATTACTCATTACAGAAGTTTGGGTAAAAATCTGTGTAGAGTTTCTGGAGAGCAGTACAGCAGGTATGGTGTTTGCCTTGCATGAACCCAATCCGAGTTCTGTCCATAGCACCACCAGGGATACATACAGCCCCTAAGCTCTTCTTGGAGTGATCCCTAAGCACAGAGCCAGGACTAAGTACTGAACTTGCCAGGTGTGGTCCCCAAACAAACAGATCTGTTTAGGGAAGTAATATGTTTGTTTTTTTCCTTCTTAAAAATTCATGAGGGCCTGGCAGTACAGTTCAGGTAGCAGCACTCCTTGGCTTTTGTATGTGGGAGACCCTGAGTTTAGTCTCTGGCATCACTGCCCACTTCCAGTACTGCTGGGTGTGGCCCTGATGACACCAGCCTGCACCCCGTGCTGCCTAGCACTGCTGACAGGAGACCAAATTGTCCAGTCCACATTGCCTGGCCTAGTCTTCTGAGAGTGGTTCCTGTAAAGATATTTTTATAGATTAATTATACATTTAGCTGCATTATGACAAGAAATCCGACCTTGCCAGTCCCGCATGGGCACAGTGATATCTTTTACTTTGTTTTGGCCCCCACCACCACTTGGGCCACATCCCAGGCCGAGCACTGTGAATGTTAGGTTTTAGGCAGAGTGTTTGTTGGAGCTTTCCAAATAATGTTAGACATTTACTGACCTATTTGATATTTATGATAATGACATTTAGATAACTTCCTCTCTCTTTTCTCTTAAGAGATACAAATTGTTCTTTGTAGTATGTTTACTTTCTAGTCTTTTCCTAGCATTCTGTTAATAAATGTTCTTTGAAAATAATAGTGTGGAACTAGGAATTAGTATTTTTATTCCTGTAACTTTGTACATATCTAATGCAATTTTTGAGTGATGTGTAGCTGTCTTGGTAATTTAGCTCAGATTTATTTACCTGGTTAAGATGAATTGGTTAAAATTCCTAAAATGTGTTTGACTAGTCACATTTATATTTTAGTTATGTTTGAAAGATGTTTATCCAGAAAAAATTTTTTCTTAGGTAGCACAATTTCTAAATATAGTCAGCCTTTAATTAACCAGTAATGTAGGAGAACTAAACATGACTAAATTAGTGTTAAGATGATCTCCAAATCATATTTGACATTTAGATATATTTTTCAATTACAATGAAAAATATCTATTTACAGTGAATATAAACATATTCATTGAATTAGTTCATAAACTAGACAAGGAGAATAAATTTATTTGTTCTTTTAGCAGAGGCTAATTTTTTAAATGAAGCAAAATAGTTTTATTTAAATTTCCCTAAGTATGAGGGCGGGGAGAGAGAGAGGGAGGGGAAAGGGAGAGGGAGGGGGAGGGGGAGAGAGAGATGTTTAAGAAAAAGGATGGGCTTTTCCAGAGCAGAAAATGCCTGGCAGAGGCTAGTTTTATATATGAGGTCCTCCTCCTCGCTTACCCCAGTGTCTAGATACGTCTGGAGCTGTATGAAATCAGCTCTAATTCTCCAAACCCATTAGCCTCCACCTGAGATTATTACTGTACACACTCTTCATATTGAAGACAGTGGGTGAAGCCACCATACTTCAAAGACCTTATACAGTCATATATTGCAGTTAACTAAATGAAATGACTAGTTCAAAGTCCCATGTCGTACTCTTAATAGCACTGCCTAGTAAAGAACATAATTTGGATAACAATTATGGATAACGGGTGTTATCATTAGCCTTTTTGGTATAAACAGCTGAACAGAACTGTTCTTAGGTAACTCAAAATCTAAATCTCCAACATTAGTCCACATAAAACTCAAAGAACAAGATAAGGAAACTAAGGAACTCAACTTGCTGTTTCAGACAGCGATAGAAACTCAGGGAAGACCTCAAGCCCATTAAAACTCTCAAGTCTGGTTGATGAGGACCTGAAATCAACACTCATTACATTGGCAGTTGAAATTAAGCAATCACTGGCCAGTGAAATTAAGCAACCACTAGATGAGAAATTTTACCAACTCAAATAGGAACTGATTCAGAGGATGACCAATTCCAAACAAGATGAGCCGGAAGGAACTAAGGAACACAATAGCAAGTCATAGTAACAGAATTGCACAGGTGGAGAACCATTTAAACAAACTTGAAGACAAAATACAAGTCAGCATTATCAGGAAGCAGCAAAAAAAAAAAAAATCCAACACTAGAATGGAAGAGAATGTAAGGTGCTATATGGATAACAGCACAAGGAATAATCTCTGAATTATAGGAATACTAGAAGGAGAGGAAAATGGGAAAGAGGAAGAACAAGTGGTGGAAGAGAGAATAGCTGAGAACCCCCCACCCCACTCTCTGAGCGCACTGATGTACAGATTAAAGAGGCCTCAAGAGTACCAAGAAAAATAACTAACACCTAGACATGTAGTAATCAAAATGGCAAAATCTGAAGAAACTCCTGAAAGCTCCTAGATAAAAGAGAAAACTTAAATATAAAGGAAACAACATAAGAATCACAGCAGATCTCTCATATGCAACAGTAGTGAAAAGAATGGAATGGCATATTCAAACTTCACTTAAAAAAAAAAAAAGCTTTCAACCTGGAGTCCATTACCCTGAAAATCTCTCATTTAGATGGGAGGGAAGGATAAAAACATTCTCAGACACCAAGAGCTCACAGCATTTGCTGTGACTAAGTTGACCCCGAAAGAAATACTGAAAGGCCATTTATATAAATCAAACAGCCAGTATTAGAAGTAACAACCCCACACAGTAAAATGACAAGACAGCCGTTAATATTCATAACTTACCTGATTTTGTCAATGAACTCAGCTGTCCCATCAAAAGACAGAGAATGGTGGAATGGATCAGGAAA